TTCTGAAGGCAAAAGGGGGTCCAACACGGTGCTAGTGTGGTGTACCAAATAAAGTGGCCGGTGAGTGTGTAAACACCTTATATTTGTTTTTATATACTTGAATTGTTATATCTTAGAATTATTGCTCTTTCTGATATTTTTTATAAAATTCTTGTTATTTTTTTGCTTGGATAATTTAAATAGTAAAATAAATTAAATCGAGCAAGTATAGTTTTGACCAAATATTTGTACTTATAATTAAGTATCTGAGCATCTGTTTTTTCAATTTTTATATTTCTGGAGTACTTTGTACAGCCCTGTAAAGAGCTGTTGGGTGGAGAAGGACAAACACAAATGCCAAAAGTCTTGGCCGAGGTCCCGGAGGAGACCGAAGTGACCTCTCGCTCAGAGCATTTAAGCAGAAATCATCGATCCCGAGAGCCTCGTTCAGTAACACACACAGCCGCTCATTATGCCAGCACATTTGAGCGCAGAAGACAGTTGATTTAAACATTATAAAACATGCAATATAAGCCAACGTGTAGCTAAACTAACCAAGATCTTCAGTTTTGTATAGCATCAGCTGTCTGGAAGAACAGATGCTTGTGTTCCTGTGACAGTTACATTCATCTGCTCATGTCCAACTGTAGTCATGAAAAATACATCAGAGCAACAAACACAGGCAGACTACAACATATTGCTCAACTTTGACAAATCATCTGGACACTGGACATGTCAGATGTTTTATGAAGAAAAAAAGTCTACAATTCAGACATTTCAAAAAATGAAACCAACGGAGGCTTGAGAAAAATACATGCTTCATTCGCTTCTTGCACATTTCACACAGTTTCAAAGTGAAATGTTTAGTGCGTGGTGATAAAAAGTATTTAATATTGTTTCAGAAAGTGACTAACGTGGAGAATATGTCAATTTAATCATTTAAGTGATGAGATTTAAGTGACGTGGTGACGAGTTCCACAGCCGACTCTCATCACACTGGATGAAAGTGGGGCCCACTGAATAATAGGTTTTGTAGACAATTGGCCAAGTTTCTGAAGTAGACATGACCAGTTGGAGATGGTCTACATCCCACCCACACTGGGGCAGCTCTCTAGTAATCTGGCTTATAGTCCTACGGTGCTTTCAAATCTGTGGTTCGGTTAATTTGGTCCGGACTAAGACAACAAATGGCACATTGTAGGGTTTTTTTGCTGTCCTTTTCACACCACACTGATTGATTTGGTCTGAACCAGTTGAAAAGAACCAAAATGCAGTCATGTTACAAATTCCACATCACTCAATGGCCAGATGTTATTGAACGTATTTCCTTAACTGCTTTTCGATTGGTCAGAATTAACGTGTGGGAAAATGCCAATGGAACTCCTGCAAGTAAACAAACACAAACAAACACAAAAATGTCGCTTTTTACTATGGAGGGACGACTAAACTGGCTGATTGTATCCCTGCTCATAGCATACTATATAGTTTGTGTACATCAATTTAGACAAACTATAGATTTCGAGATTGAAGCGTGGCTCTGGATGGAAAAAAATGTTTTAATACATTGCAAACGGTGAAGGTGCATCGCAAGTCACTTCAGGAGGAGGCATGAATAAATTTAGCTAAACTGCGAAATGGTCATCTTCCAGAATTATTACCAACGATCCATCAGGTCATGTTTTTCCCTCTCTCTCTATCTGTTTAAAATTGTTGGTAACGCGCTCTCAGTTATTTTTCCTCCACATCCCATAATGCACAGCGCATCGGCATACGGCAGCCGGATTAGTCCAAAAAGGCGCAGTACTTTTTGCGGTTGGGTCTGTTCTAGTTCGAATCATGTTCTCACCACAAACAAATTGCTCCAGGGTTCGTTTGAAAGCATAACCTTTGTCTTCAAGAGGTCTTGGTAAGCTTTTTTGGTCTGCTTTTGGTGCACATTCGAGTACGATTTCTACATTTACACCAACCCAAATGAACCACACCAAGAAGGAAAACAAACTCTGGTGCGATTTAATCGAACTAAACAAGGCAGGTGTGAAAACACCCAAAGCGTTGGCACTTGACTAACTGGGGCCCAGCCAGGTCAGGGAGCAGACAGACTGCCTAAACCAACCATCTGCTAGCATCTACAGTTTACCAAACTCAGATACTCTGCAGCACATAGAGCCACCTAGATATTATAACACAGAGACCGTGTCTGTTCCCTGAACCTCTAATTATAAAAAGAAAAACTCCCAAACTCTTTCAAAGGTGAGAATTGAGGATCAACAAATAAAAAATAAAGGTAATCAAAAGATAAAACTCAGGTTATTGAACATTAAATCACTCTCCATTAAATCTCTTTTTGTTAATTTGATAGCCAATTTAAAGTTAGATGCACTTTGTCTTACAGAATCCTGGCTAAAACCAGACAAATACATGAACCTAAAAGAATCTTCACCTGATGGATATTATTAGAAACACGAGCCTCATCTTAAAGGAAAGAGTGTAGGCAATGGCATAATATATAGTGATATTTTTT